ATAAATGCTTATATAACATTTACAATGGATAAACTTATCATCGTAATTGCACGACAGTTACAACATCTAATATCCGAAGAAACCAATGTGGCAAGTATGGATCTGTACAAAAAATTTCGCTCAGACCGTCCGCTGAGTATCGCCACTGTGGGAGAAAAAAATGAGGATGACATTGAGGAAGCGTACGAGGAAGCGGCACAACAGCTAATGGCCAATCAGAATTGCTTCAAAACACATTTTTTGCATAAAAATCGATTTGTTACAATGGAACTGATCGATAGCGATATTACGGAGGAAAATGATAAAGAAGAGGGACATGAATCTCGAAGCCGCTACGTACGCCATTTTGCTAAGGTAGGGATTGACTTTTTTTTGAAAATTTTCCTCGTTTTGCCTATTTTTTTTGAGTCAAACAGTGGTTTTCCTCGTTTTGCATATTTTTTGAGCAATAGTGGTTTTCCTCATTTTGCATATTTTTTGAGTTAAACAGTAATTTTCCTTGTTTTGCTTATTTTTTCAGTCAAACAATAAGACAATTTTAAGATTCGTTTGAAAAATTAGATTTTTCCTCATCCGGAGAAATTTGGGTCAATTTTCTTGATTTCTGGTCTCCTTCGCTTGATTTTTACCCTGGTATGGCTGAATTTTGTATTTTTTTAAACGCAGTTTTCCTCGCTTTTTTTCATTTGGCGTATGCTTGGAAGTAGGAGCTGCCACGAGTTTGACTTCTTTTAGAAGAAATTTTCCTCGTTTTGTATTTTTTGAGTCAAACAATGGGACCGTTTGAGATTCGCTTGAAAAATTGGAATTTGCCTCAACCGGAGATGTTTTTTGGGCCAATTTTCCTGATTTTTGATCCCCCTCGCTTGATTTTTGCCCTCCTGTGGTTGAATTTTTTATTTTTTTAAACTCAGTTTTTCTCACCTTTTTTCCATTTGGCGTATGCTTGGAAGTAGGAGCTGCCGCTAGTCTAAATAGAAGTGTTTTTGACTTAGTTGACAAAAAAAATATTCGTTTTCCGTTGATTAATTTTTTTTTTTTGTTTTATACATGTCATTACGGCAATATTCATTATCTTTGGAGAAGGAAATTCTAGTTGTGGTGCTGAAAAAGAATATATACGACTTCGTAGCGAGAAATTTCTCTTTCTTTTTCGGTTTTTTTTCATAAAATAATTTTTATTTTTTTTTCTGAAAATATATTTGTATTTTAATTTATGTTTTTTTTCGTTTTATGTTTTTTTTTTTCTAATT